CTGTCATTATGCTAATATTCACCTTATAGTATATAGTATACATACTATATAAAATATATAAAAGTTTTTCTTTTTGTTTTAAAAGGTACTTTTGCTTTCCATTTTTTTAATTCTCTATTTATAGTGACAACTATTAGGAAGACTTTTGCTTGTCATTTTCTGTAAACTCTGAATGTTCTCATTTATAGCTTGGTTGCAACAAAGGAAACAGACAGTGCAAGATCTCGAAGTGCTCCAATGTCACCTTCTGACTTTCTGGATAAATTAATGGGGAGGACATCAGGGTATGATGCAAGAATCAGACCCAATTTTAAAGGTAATTATCTACTTACTACTATATTTGAAATGTGTTTTGAATATTATTAAACAAAATAAATTTTCAGATTGATTCCACCAAAAATTCTAATGCTTATTTTCAGTAATTATGCAAAGATATGTTTTGAAAGAAAAAATCTATTCTTGTGTTAATTTTTCTCAGAATTCGGCTTCTTTGAACCAATAGTGTTTGTTTTTCCTTCTTTGTTATGGTAATTATTGTCATGATTCATTTTAGGAAAATATATATATATATACATTCCACTCACTGGAATAGAATCTTCTTTAGAGCTGGCAATAAACCATATTTTAAATTCCCCAGAGCAAGACTCTTTTATATTGTGGAGAATCAAACAGTTGTTGAATTTATGTACTGGGTAAAGAGTCTGGATAACTAAAAGCCACTGATAACATTTCAAAAATCATTCCCTCTACAAAATTTTTACGTAAATGTATAAGAAAGAGTGCAATTATCAGTTTAAGAATACCCACCTTTATTCTTCTGTTTAATATAGTGAAAAGGAGCATATTTATACATGTCATATGTGGATTATCCAGAACCACAATGTGTCCTAGGGTAAAAGATTAGAAAACTACTTCTATGTCTGTATTTATTTAATATATCTTGAATAATATTCTATTCAATAAATAAAATAATCCAAATAATAAGAATACATACCATTTCCATGAGATTCAGTTAAGCTATTTTTATTCTTAAAGGTGAAAAGAAATACAATATAATCTAAATGATTTTTTTTTTCCTGAATTTGTTCTTATGGGGAAAAAAAAGGAATTGTTTAGGACTGGTTTAAGAATTATTTACAGAGGACTGATAAATACCAAGAATGGATAGTAGGAGAAAAATATAGGAGTAAAATTTGTTGATAATTTATAAGTAAAAAACTATGAATTGCTTCAATTTCAAAATTATTTTGACATTTATATTATGGATTGTATTTCTTGATTTAAGCATGTTGACCATAAATATTCTTAACTGCACGAGAAGAACACTAAATGTAAAGCCATGAGGAAATAGTACAGCTTAAGAGATATCATATATAAATGAAACAAGAGATTTCAGCATCATGAGGATCTTTTACAAATTGCAGAACAGCAGTAACCTTGACATTAGGTTGAGAACTAACTTTGAATTGACCTTGAAATATATGCAGTTGTCATTTTAGTAAACAGCAAGAAACATAATCAGCAATTAGTAGATTCATTATGGTGATTCCATTCAGTGGTTCAAAGTATTGCTTTGTTTTCACTGAAAACTAAAGAGAAAAATGTGTTCTATTTTTAAATGTCTGTGAATATTTTAAAAACCACATAAACACTCAATGGAGGTCTTACTAAAAATATAGGTAAGTTACTAACTGCACAATAGTGGTCCCAGTGCCTTTGCTGCTGTCTTGGAAAATTTACTTTCATTTTATCATTTCAATCACTTAACAGACAAAGGAAATTTTAAACCATCTTCAATGTGATTAATATTACTATTAATGTGTGAGACCAGGAAAGGACTGAAAAGATTTGGTTTTGCTTAAAAAAAGTAGTGATTTTTTTAAAAAATGAAAATACATTTCTAAAAACTAGCTGATAACCCAACCAGTTTAGAGGTGAGGAGATTTGTTTTTTAATGTCTATTTACTTATTTTTGAGAGAGAGAGAACATGAGAGGGGCAGAGAGAAAGGGAGACAGAGAATCGAATATCTTACACTCTGAATATCAGAAAAGCAAGTGGACGCTCATATGATTACCATAATGTCAGTTTTAAAAAAATGATAACTTAATGAATTAGTTCTTAGCGAACACTCTTGTTTTTCCATTCAAACGTTGTTGTCTCTAGGGAATGCTCACAGCTTCCTCCCCAAATTCAGCACATTCGACAGTTTCTTTTTGTTGAATAAAATAACATCATAATCCTTTGACCATCATTCTGTTGCTTAATACTGAAATATAAATAAAATATATTTAAATATTTTTTAGGTATATATGTCCTAACAAACTAAATACAAGACATATCAGAAGACGATTGTATCAGTCCCTCTATTGTCGGGTACCTAGGCACCCACCAT